AAGCCAGTGATAACTAGCTAAGAATGCATCTTAGATTAGGAGGTGAGGTAGGAGCATTGTGGGTTCCAGCCCAGCCTGGCCATACAGATGACACTGTCTCAAAAAAACAGGGAAAAAAGAAGTCATTAAAATATAATATCAACTGGCATGGTGGCAAGCCCATGTAGTCCCAGGTACTTGGGAGGCTGACACAGAAAGACCATTTAAGCCCATGAGGTCATAGACCAGTAAACACAGCAAGATCCAGTATTGAAACACACACACACACACACACACACACACACACACACACACACACACACACACAAAACAAATGTTTTCATTTGGAAGAGCAACATCTGTGGCACATTTTCTTTTTGGGAGAAATTTGGAGTGTTGATTTCTGATTTCAAAATGTGATAGTCATGTTTTTGCCTCACTTGACATGTCCTTAAGTCTATAGTCACTGAAGTAAAAGTCTTACCATAGTCTGTGGAATTGATGCATAGTTTGGAATCCTAGCACTTGGTGGAGAAAACTCTGCACAGTTTTTCCCAGCGCAAAGCATCAGTGCCTGTGAATAGGAGTAAAATTTTTAGAGGATGCCTCATAGGAAGTGTTGGCACCACACCTCTGGGAGTATTTTGAAAGGTCAGAAGGATGCGTGTATTTACAAGATTGGACAGATCGTAACAGGACTAAAAACAACTAGCATTTACCACAATGGAGACAGTGCAATTAGTATTTGCCACAGTGACACCTGGTATGGAAAAAGGCAGTGGTGGGAGAAAATGGCTGACACAAATACATGTAGAGCAAAGAGTACAAGTCTATTCAAGAAGAGAGATACCATGGGGAAGGAAACCAAATGCTAAAAAGGAACAGTGGTACAGTGAGGGGGTCAGGAAGTCAAACTACTCACAGAGCCTGATCCAGGAGGAAAGCCCATCTCTGCTCAGTTTCTCCGTGGAGAGCTGAAGAACAGGGGCTGAGGGATGATTCTGTCATTGATGCTGAGGGCTCCCGAGGAAGTGAGGAGGTGATTACAGCTGCTAGACACAGGTAGGAGAGTCACAGGGAAGAAAAAAAGCAAGTAAAGGACTGTTACCTCCAAGAGTTTGGGCCTTACTCACTTAGGCCAATCACAGTTATTCATAATATGAAGAAGATGAAGTTAAAACAAAGCTGCTTAAATCCCAAGAATCCAAATTAACTTCTGATCCTAACTATTATTTCAAAAGCAAATGCAATCCTATGTAACACTATGTAATGCTGTAGAGTGAACAAATGATGTCAGTGAGGTCCAAATAACATCTGGAATTAGTTAATAGTAGTACAGCAATCGATTTGAATTTACTGGATTTCACAAGAGTATCATGCTTTTGTAATTTACTTCACTTTATGTTGATGTATTTATTTGAGATAGGCTCTCACTATGTAGTCCAGGACGGCCGAACCTCACCATCCTCCTCCCTTGGCACCAGCCAGCTGAAAACATTTTAAAATTTTCTATTCTTTCTTTGTTTTGACACGGGGCTGCCTGTGTTGCCTAGGCTGGTCTCAAGCCTGTGGGCTCAGATGATCCTCTCGCCTCACTTTCCAAGGAGGTGGACGATGGTGTGGACCAAACCTGTGGGCTCAGGTGATCCTCTCGCCTCACTTCCCAAGGAGATGGACGATGGTGTGAACCATCACACACATCCGAGTAAAATGATGGGGGTGAGAACTTTCTGCATTGTATTTGTAACTGACCTGTAAATCTAAATTCCAAATGAGGGGAGAAAGGAGGAAGGGAGAGAGAATGACGTGTTAACACTGTTTCTCTCAGAAAGTATTAGGAGTGCTTTACTTGTCTCTCATTTTTTTTAGTGGTGCTGAACTGAGGGCATCCTACTTGCTAAGCTGGCTCTCCACTACCCAGCCACATCTGCAGCCTCCTCTCTTCCTGATAGTTACGATATTATAGACACAAAATCAACAACATTAAAATTCCATGTCAACTTGCTATGCTGCTATTTTTTAATGGGAGGAAAAAAGTAAGACTGAACCAGGTATGGTGGCATGGGCCTGTACTCCTAGCACTCAGGGGGTGAGGAGGATTTAGAGTTCAAGGCCAGCCTGGGATGCACAGTTAGACCTTGTCTCAAAAAAAAAAAAAAAGAGAGAGAGAGAGAGGGAAATTTAAGTTTAGTTAATTGAACTTATCAAATAAGTAAGATTATTTTGTAATACAAATTAATAATGTTAAGAACAATTTTCATTTGTAAAAAAATTACCTCCTGTTTCTCCTTTACGTGATGGTTAATCTTACCTGTCAACTCTTTAAATTTTTTAACCATGGTTAAATGCCATGAAGTAGGCAGCAATGTCTTCACCATGTGGGTGTTGTCAGGGCCGAGGGCCCTTCCATCCTTGTCAAGGGAGTGCTAACCTCTCCTGTCATACAACACCTTAAATGTCACCTTGACTGGATTGAGAAGCACACAGGAGACCAGAGAACACACCTCTGGGGCGTCTGAGATGGTGTTTGCAGAGACGATTACATCATGAGCTCTCTGGATGGATTAAAACTCCTCAATTGATTCATAGTTTGATGCCATTACTGGGGGGAGGTGAAGGTGGGAGGTGGGGCCTGGTTGGAGGAAGAAGGTCCCTGGGGTGTCCTTGAAGGGAATATCTTGCCCTGGCTGGTTCCTGTGTTCCTTTTCTCTGCTCCTGGCTGCATGATGGGAACTGCTCTGATCCACAACACCTCCCCACCATGATGGACTGACACCTCTGAAACGGTGAGGTAGAATAAATCTTTCTTCCCTTAGGTGATTTTTGTCAGATATTTTGTCAAAGATGATAAAAATAATGAATACAAAAGATATCTTAAATTTTTAAAAAATTTTGAAAGATTTTAACCAAAACATTACTCCCTATCTCTACATATACTAACTTGAGCACAACTGTAAATAGATGATGATTTAACATTTTTATGCTTTAACTTTAATAAATATGGCAATAAATAATATGACTTTAATAAATTTCCTATCAAAAGCAAAATATTACAACTCAGATAAATATTTTCCCTTTACTTCAAAGACAGCATTACATTGAACATGGACCTAGGGTACTCAGATGTCATTTCACTCTTACCATACATCTTCCAGATCAATTTGTTTAAATAAATAGGCTGCTCTGGTCAACTTGACATTTTCTTTATTTCTTACATCTGTTCTAGAGACTTGACTTAGGAAACTAAATAAAGGTACTATTTTCAGGAGCTTCCCTGAACCAGTATCTCTCTACATATAACTAGCAAAAAGATAAAAATATAAAGCTTTAGATAACAAACAAACCTCTTCTCAATTCAGCACTGGAATGAGTATGATTACGCTTAGAAAACATCTAGAAAAAGCCACTAAAAAAAGGAATCCATCTTTCCTCATCTGAGAGATTGTCAATTCTGTACAAACTGGGATGAGTTGTGAGCATAAGGTGAACCAAGGGCTGGGTTTCACTTGACACAGCAAAATGTGTTCTTCTAGATACACGTTTGTCCAGTCTGGAATGATTTCTGTAATGAAAAACAAACCCCGTGCCCACCAAAAGAAGACATTTAAAAAGTACAGAATTTTGTAAATGTCAGACAGAATTTTCAAATTTACTATGAATTATTGTTTCAAAAAATATTCTAAGAAGTCATATACGTGTATTAACTTGTGTCTACAGTGTCACCTAAAAGTCTGGAGCAGTTAATGAACTGACCATGGCAAAGCTATCTTATATGTTTCCTCATCATAAAATAGGTCTACTATCTACCATGACATAGTGACAGTGATGTAACAATCTAAGCAGTATCACAGGAAGGACGTCAGTACGTAGCAGATGACAAAGGCACACATGACGGGCTATGGTATCCACTAAGTGTTCTACCAATGCTGCATGATAATGAGTGGTGGCTGTCTCTGTTTCTCCCACACTTAGAGAAACTAATCAAGATACCAAAGCTTGCAAATCAATGATGAAAAGTAGTAATACAAATGATGACTACTAAGTACAAAAGAGTTCATAAGCAAGAGTGACATTTAAATAGTGTATTAGCTTCATGGAGAATGATGAAGTTTTGAGGTAAAGGTTTCCAGGGGACGGAAAGGGGTAAAAGAAGCAGAGAAAACAGGAATGAGATAGGACTAAAGCAAGGGCACCGGCTAAATAAAAGACTACGAGGAACCCTGGGGGAAGCGCAATTTATGAGGGACAAGAGAGCACTGCTCATGTGTCATACTGACACACCTTCACGTGTCCTGGCGGTGCCCATGCTGGGTCACTGTCCTCAGAACCAGCTGGGCTTCTGATGCCCATGAGCACCTGCACTTGTGCAGCCGCCTACTTCCCAGGGCTGCAGTGCATCAGTGCTATGGGGACAGGGCCTGGGCACTGAACTTCCTGTGTCCTGTTACACACTCTCTGCCTGACGAAACCAACTCTCTTCCTTTCTCTGTTTTTGCTTTTCCTTCCTTTTTTATGTCCTTCCTTCTTTTTCTTTCTTTCTTCCTAGTACTGGCGTTTGAACTCAGGGTCTTACCCTTGCTAAGCAGGTGCTTTACCACTTGAGCTACACCACCGGTCCTTTTGCACTATTCTGTCCCAGCTGGCCTTGGCAGCAATCCTCCTAAATACCTCATGCATAGCTGGGATCACAGGGGTGCACAATCATGCCCAGCTTGTGTGTTGAGAAGGGATCTCACCAACTTTTTCCCAGCTAGCCTCAAATCTTGATCTTCCTGATATCTGCCTCTGCCTTTTATTATAGGCATGCACCACCATGACTCAGCCTACCAAACTAAACTTTCTCTGGTCCTATCTGTGACCTTTCTTATAAAATCCAGTTTTAGCAAGAACCCCCACCCTCAATATCTGATCACTCTCTACAACTCATCAGGTTCATCATTCTCCATCATCCCCCAGCTGATGTCTAATTACCCTGGACTATCTTCATAAGAATCTTGTTAGCAAGAAGCCCCTTTACTCTTTTTTTTTCTGTTCCTTTGAGACAGTGTCTCAATAGGTATCCCAGGCTGGTCTTGAACTCACAATCATCCTGCCTCAGCAGACCAAATGCTGGCATCACACGGGTGTGCCAATAGTCCTTGGTAATCTTGATGGTACCTATTAGTAATTTTCTATCCATCAACCCCACCTTACTCTTTCTAAAATTCCCAACTACCCATGAGGCATTCAGAGCTGCATGTAGTCTCCTACTGTGCTTCCAACAAGTGTCATTGAATGAAAAAACAAAAAGCTGTATGATTTTTGAAATTAGTATGTGGACAGTCACTAAGAAGGAGGCAAGTACTACGGGAAATGAAAGAAGCAAAGCTCCAAGTACACATTAAAAATATTTAATGAGTGTCTATTATGTTTGTTTTGGATTTTTGTTTATTGTTTTGGCAGTACTGTGGTTTGAACTTAGGCCTTTGCACTCTACCACTTGAGCCACATCCCCAGCTATTATGCAGGGAACTGTTTAGGTGCTGGAACAAAGTAGTGAATGAAAAAGATAAAAGCCCTATGGTTATGTCAGACTGCATTCTATACAAGGAGAAGAAAATAATAAATAAGCAAAATACCTGGTCAGTAATATGTGCTTCAGAAAAAACCTAGAATGGAAGAGTCAGACATGTCAGGGTGTTGTAGGGAAGGGAAGGATGAAGCGGTGCATGTTAAATAGAAATAGACAGAAAACCTGAGAAGGAAGACAGATATGAGAAAAAAATCAAAACAATGACAAAAAAAACCCTGAAGTAGAGGAGAAGCTCTACTTCTGTGTACTTATATTCCAAAATGGAAATATGTACCTTGAAACTAGAGCCTTTCCTATGAGGGGAGAGCAGGTTGCCCACAGCATCTAAAAGAGATTACACACACCAGGCAAGCAGATCTTGGAAATTCAGAAAAACACAGAAATAAACAAGATCTAAAGCAGCCCTGATCAGTACTTTTGATAAAAAGCACTATTATCAAGAGCTTGTAGATAAAATGCTATGAGAAGATTACTTGAAGTCTGTAAGCTTGGACATTAAATGCTAGACACTGGATAAATAAGCCTATTCCATGATTCCAGAGTTCTCTATTTTTTTGGGAGGTGAGGTAGAGACACAGAGCAGTTAGGGAAACATGTAAATTACATGCCTGTAATCCCAGTGCTTAGGAGGTATATAGCATGACCCTGTCTCAAAACAAAAGAACCAAATGAAAAACGCTATGAACAAAGCTAAAACTAAACTGAGGCTCCATGAAAGAAAATTTTCCCTATAGGAAACTCAGAAAAGGGGTATCTATTTCTGTGAAAGGCACATCGAAATGTGAAAGAAATCAATCTTATGAAAGGCTTCCCTGAGGGAGAAAGGATGTAAGAACCAAACTGATGTTAAACTCTGCATTTGAAAACGGGACAAGAGAATCAAAATGACAACTAGATCTGAGATGGAAGTAAATAGTTAAAGACCCAAATAAGTTTTCTCCTAGCACACAAGATTTGGGAAGGCTGTGAACATGTGTGTGGTAGTAAACTAGTTTTTAATCTCAAATTTCATGACTACAGGTCTAACAATCTTTATAGTGCCCTGCCACCTCTTACTATCCAAGCTACTGTGCTCATAAAGCACTGTTATAAACAATCCTACTAAGTACCGACATTAAACACTGGGTAGCATGGTTATTAAGTCCAAAGCAGATGAGTACAGAGGACTGAAATCAGTTTACTGGGGACAAGGCAAGCGAGGGAAGGAGGCAGGAGTGCCGCTAATTGCTTATGGGCAGAAGATAAAAGTGCTCTAAACTCAGACTGCGATGATGGCTGCACAACTCTGTAGATAGACTAAAAACAATGGAATGGTACAATTAAAATGGTGCAGTCCTGTGACAATAATTCTATCTCAGTAGCGCTGTTTAAACAAGCAAAAAGTATTATCTGTGGCAGATCTTTTTATTGACATAGCTATAAGCACCCAAATTGAAACCTATAAAGCTAATCATTTACAAGAAAACAAAATATGTGAATTTGCTTAATGGTTTTACTTGTAAAATATTTACAAGTGATATCCACTCTTACCCATATTGGCCAATAACCCTGAAATTGCTTGAACATCAGCTTCCAGAAAGACTTCATTCAGAGTTGAAACTACTGGCAAACACAAAGTACGGATAGTATTCTTCTTTCACCTTTGGGGAAAACACATGATAGTAAGGACAGCTACATTCAAAAAAGATTATGCTAGAGTCAGGTCTTTTCACTATAGAACCAAGTAGTGTCATATAGGAAGCAGAGATGCTATCAACACTCTAGTCTGTGACAACAATAAAGTTTTTTTTTATTATTATTTTTTGAGTATAAAACTCTTTATTTACAGTATTACTAAACAGATAACAGGGAGCATATTTAAATGATAATATCCTAGCATTTTCTTCCTTCTCCACTTCTTTCTCTATATCCCCCCACCACCCCGCTTTCTTTTTTGAGAGGAGGACTCACTATGTAGCCCAGGCTGGCCCAGCCATATGAGTGTTGGAATTACAGGTATCTGTCAGCACACCTGCCAATATGCTAGTGTGCTTTGTGGCCTTTTTTAAGTTCAGAAAATTTTTATTTTTATTTATTTATTTATTTGCAGTACTGGAGTCTGAACTCAGGGCTTCACACTTGCTACCCAAGACCTCTACCAATTGAGCAATGCTCCTAGCTTTAATTTTACTCTTTTTAAACACAGAAAAAAAAAATTAAAGGAAATAGATTAGTAGTTACAATGCCCTTTCTTTGCTAGTTACCTACAACAACTATCAGTAATTCAAAGTAAAAATGAAAACTTTTAAGAATCATCAAATTATCTCTCTCTCTCTCTCTCTCTCTCTCTCTCTGTCTCTCTCTTCTCTCTCTCTCTGTCTCTCTGTCTGTCTGTCTCTCTCTTTCTCTCTCTCTGTTTCTCTGCTGGGGATTGAACCCAGGACCTTCTGCATGGTAAGCTCATCTGGGATGTGAATAAACAAACTGGACACAGCAAGAAACTACTCAGGAATAAAAAGGAGTAAATCACTAAGATGCAGCATGTGGATGAATCTCAAAATGCTAAGTAAAGGAAGCCAGACTCAAAAGTCTACACACTACAGGTTGAGCAACCTGAACCCAAATATCCAAACTCTGAAATCTTTCAAGCACCACAAGTGGAAAATCCCGCTCCTTAGACATGAGGGTAGGGTAGCGGTCAAAATGAAGGCACACTAAAATATTGTATAAAATGATCTTTGGCTATGTCTGTAAGATGTATAGGAAACACAAGTGAACTTTATGTTAAGATCTGATCCCATCCCCAAGATATCTCATAATGTACATGCAAATAATCAAATATTTGAAAAAAATCCAAAATTGAAAAAATTCTTCCAGTGCCCAGTCTTGTTTTGTTCTGTCAAGTAAGACATAAATGTCTAGACGGGCACCGGTGTCTCACATCTGTAATCCTAGCTACTCAGGAGGCAGAGATCAGGAGGATTGAGTTTCAAGGCCAGCCCAGGGAAAATGAAAAACGAGACCCTATCTCAAAATACTCAGCAGAAAAAAGGGTTAGCAGAGCGGCTCAAGTGGTAGAGTTTAGCCTGCCTAGCAAGTGTGAAGCCTAGAATTCAAACCCCAGTGCCACCAAAAAAAAAAGTAAATTGAACATGCCTCAGAATAAAACACAAATTAGATGTTAATTAGGAATGAACAAGTCCCACCCTTAAGAACTGCTGTCTGTCTCCAGCACAAGTCCTTTCAAAACGTCCACTGGACGAGGTCTTTCCCTGGCTACTCTATCTTAAAATAGCAACTCGAGCACTTCCTATACCCTTACCTGCTCTGCTTTTCTCCTTAACTATTGACATGTTTATCCTGTTTATTATCTGACTCACTAATAGAACTAAAATCTATGCAATAATTTTTTTTTTTTTGAGACAGGGTCTCGCTGCTGTTGCCCAGGCTGTTCTAGCACTCCTGGGCTCAAGTGATCCTCTTGCCTCAGGCTCCCCAGCACTGGAATACAGGCCAGAGCACAGCTCAATAAAGGGATTTTTAAACTGATGCACAGAATGTCTGCTACAAAACAGACTCTCAATGAGTATTTATGGCTGAGTATGGTGGCCCATGAGTATAATGCCAGGACTTGGGAGGTTGAAGCAGGAGGAACATGAGTTCGAGGCCAGCCTGGACTATACAGTAAGATCCTGACTCCAAAGAAAAGAATGTGTGAATAAAATGAAAATGGTCTAGGAAAATAAACACCATGGCTTTACCAAGAATAACAACAAAGCTCTTATGATCAGGAACACTCTTTTGGCTGAACAGGCATTCCTAATTACTCCAAAGAGTCTCTCATACTCAGAAGAAGACATTCTACATGAACAAACGTACCTTTACTACAATACTGTGCTGAACGTTAACACAGTAGAGCTTATGTTGTGGTTTTTGTGACAATAAAGCAAACAAAAACTTACCTTTGCTTGATGTATACAAGAGTGCTGACTGAAAAGAACCCAACTGCATGTCAGGAAGACTCTTTTCCGCTGACATCTGTACTGTATACCTGGCATCTGGGTTGACATTGGGCAGAGACAGGAAGTCTGTGGAGCAGACAAAGAAGTTCCCATGGAAAGTGTGAATGGTGAGAACTAGGCGAGAACAAATTTTAAAATGACTTTATATGCCTGCCTCTGGATATTTACACTTTATCCTAGTCACTTATGAGATACTAAAAATAGGTAGATAATAGAGAGGATTTAGTGAGATTGAGGGGGATAGGTGTCTTCTTAAATAAAGGTGAGGATACAACCTTCAAAACGCTTTCTGGGAGGGACAATTTGGCTCTACATATTAACATTATTTGAACTTTAGCAATCTCTTATCTAAGAATTTATGCTATAGATATACTCATTCAAGTGCACATTTCTTTGTGCAAAAACATTTTAAACAGATTTGTCACAGCAAAAAATTTTAAAAATCACCATCACTGGTTATCAGTAGTAAAATAACTAAACTGTGATTTGTTCCTTTTAGTGAAATTAGGTAGACATTAAACAGAATGGGATAGGTTTATATAAACTAAAATGAAGGGATCTTTAAAGTTTATTAAGTGAGCATGTCATTTATGCAAATACACCATCTATGTATTTCCATGCAGTTGTACCTAAGCCAAAAGCAGAAAATCCTGTTATGCACCAAAGTGGTTACAGTAAATACATAAGGATGTAATTGTGTGTACAATCAAGCTGATATGGAAGGAATTTAGCTTTAGCAATAGGTATATATGCAAATATATACATGCATAATGCATGTATAAATATTTGTATTTTAAAGAAAAACAGATGCATATATTGTGAAATAAAAACTAACTTTAAAACAAGAAAGATACAGTTCTGCACATACAAAAACAGATGTCCATGATGTGGTTTAAAAACATGTGAGCATCTCATGGAGCACAGCAGAGCGGGAGCCAGCATGCAGAAGCCTGGTGACTTGCCAGATTCACACTGCCCCAAGCTCCCTTGCCAGCATCTACAGCAGGGAACATCATCTGCAGCTAGAGAAACACTTCAAGGTGGATGGGTACCCTGACTATAAGACCAGGTGGCCCTGGCTACCAGGCTCAACCTGAAGGAGTATGATGTGCAGGTGTGGTTCCAAATGTATTTGATCCTTAAGGACTGTGAGGAACTCTTTTTTTCTGGGGGGGGGGGGCGCAAGGGGGAGTCCTGGAGTTTGAACTCAGAATTTTGCACTTGCAAAGCAGGCACTCTAATGCTTGAGGCACACCTCTAGTCCATTTTGTTCTGCTAATTTTGAAGATAGGGTCTCACAAGGTATTTGCCCAGGCTGGCCTCAAACCTTGATCCTCCTGAACTCAATCACTCAAGTAGCTAAGGCTTATAGGTGTGAACCACCACTGCCCCAGCTAAGTTCATTGTTAAGGCAGGAAAATGACATAAAACCAGCAGAAAAAAAAAAAAAAAAGCTAGGCCCCAGTGGTTCATACTTATAATCCTAGCTACTCAGGAGACCAAGATCAGGAGGATCATGGTTTGAAGTCAGCCTGGGCAAATAGTTTGTGGGACCCTATCTTAAAAAAAACCTATCACAAAAAGGGGGGGAGGTGGGCTGGTGGAGTGGCTCAAGTGTAGGCCCTGAGTTCAAACCCCAGTACAGAAAAACAAAAAAACAAAAAAAAAAAAGAAAAGAAAAAAATCCTGGACCCATTGTTTGGTTTTCCGGAGATTACAACAACAGCTACGACCACTGAAAAATAAAGTGCCAAAAGCAGAACATTTTACAAACCCCGCCCCACCCCTTGCCCTGCCATTCCTGGCTCTCCATTATAACCAGCATTTGGAAGTGACTTGATCACAAAGCACTGCTCCTTTCATCTTTTCAGTCTGGACAGCTTCTTCTACCACAGCCTGAAGTCTGATCCCGATTTCTGGTCAGACACTGTGAAGTCCAGGGAGCTCCCCTCAGCCCTAGAGGCCTTCCAGAGACTTTCTATCTCTGCATTGGCACCTGGGTACAAAAGAGGGAGTTAGCATGGCAGATTGAGGGCAGATCAGGCCCAGGATGAGTTCTGATATTTGAGGGGGGGAGGGTCTGTGCCTATGGCTCTTGCAGGTCCCATGGAGCAGA